TGTATCCAGGCTCCCTCGGGCAGAGGTTACGTTGTATCCAGCCTGCCGGGAATCACGTCCCTCGGGAGCTCGGATCACTTATAGACTCGTGCCACCTCGGCAATCCCCCACGGCTTGGACCTCTCCCACTCTGGCTAAATGAACGGCGGTGCAGCTGCTTCCTGTGGCTGAGCAAGGACCCTGGAAATTCTCACCACCGAACCTCTCACAATTCCAGAAGCCCTCCACCAGACACTGATGCTGGGCTCCGTGTAAACTGACACAATGTTTTTAGATGTAGCCAGCGAAGACTTTGGTTTGCTTGACATTACGTGTTTGTAGCGTTTTTTTTTTTTTCTTTTTGCTTTCTCCAGTGGGCAAGAGAAGGGACGTGGTAGGGAGAGAATTTGGAAGTGAAAACAAAATTGAATTTTGAAAAGAAATTCTGCAGCTAGGTGGCGCAGTGGATAGAGCACTTGCCCTGGAGTCAGGGGAACTTGAGTTCAAATGTATCTCAGACACTAGTAGCTGTGTGACTCTGGGCAAGTCACTTAACCCCGATTACGGAGGAGTGGGAGGAGAGGAGAAATTCTATCTATGGAAGAGTCGGGACACGACTGAACAAGAAGCTCCCAGGGAGCTCATCGAAAAAAAATAACCATGTCCAAGCAAGAAATATATGGGGAGTCGGATATGTATACACAAACACACCCGTATACGTTTGTTGTTCAGTTGTGGCTGACTCTGTTACCCCATTTGGGATTTTCTTGGCAAAGATACTGGAGAGGTCTGCCATTTCCTTCACCAGCTCGTCTTGCAGATGAGAAAACTGAGGCAAACAGGGTTAAGTGACTTGTCCAGGGTCACACAGCTAGCATCTGAGGCCAGATACCTCTATCCACTGTGCCACTTAGTTGCCCTGATTTTCACATACACACACACACACACACACACACACACACATATATAATACATACTTATATGATTTGGAGATAATCAATAGAGGAGAGGCATTTAGCCCGGAAAGGCTTCCTAAAGAAAAAGGGATTCTAGCTGGGACTTGAAGGAAGGCAGGAGACAGAGCAGAGGAGGAAGAGCATTACAGGCATGGGGGTGGGGAGTGGCCAAAGAAAATGCCTGAGAGATGGAGGTTTTGTTTATGGAAAAGCCAGGAAGCCTGGGTCACTGGATCCAAAAGAGTTGGGGAGTAAGGTAGAAGAAGACTGGAAAGGTAGAAGGGGGCAGATGATGTACGACTTTGAACACCAAACAGGATTTCGAGTTTGATCCTAGAAATGCTAGGGAGCCCCTAGAGTCTATTGGAGGAGGAGAGGTGTGAGTGTGTGTGGTGCGGGGGAGAACAAATAGTCAAACCTGCACTCAGCTTTCGGAAAACCACTTTAGTGGCTCAGAGGAGGATGGTCCAGAGTGGGAAGATATTTGAGGCCCAAAGACACTCCCCTCCCCAGACTGGCTTCTTCAACAGTCCAGGTATGCGGTGATGAGGGCCTACACCAAGGCACAGCCAGTGTCAGAGAGAAGGGGGAGGCATATCCTAGAGATGTTATCAAGATGGAAGTTACCTACTGGACCACTGATTTACATGTGGCAACAGAGAGTGAAAAGCTGAGTGTGACACCTAGATTGTGGTTCCACGTTGGACCCTCAGGAGTTAGAAAGGGGGGAGAAAGATGAGCTCACTTTTGGACATGCTGAGATGAAGACATGTGCAGGACATCTGCTTCAAGATATCCAGGAGACAGCTGGAGATGTGAGACTGGAGGTCAGCAGAGAGGCTGGGGCTGGATTGGGAGACGGAGATGGTCATTCAGTGGGAGCTGCTGAGGTCACCCAGCGAGGTGGTGTAGAGAGGGCCCAGGACAGAGCCCTGAGGGACTCCAAGGAAGCAGTACATGTGACACGGATGGCCAAAGGAGACGGAGAAGGTATGGTCAGACAGGGAGAACCAGGAGAGGGCAGTGCAGGAGAAACCAGTCGGGGCTGAGCTCCAGAATAGGCCATTAGATTTGGGGATTAGGAGGTCAGCAGTAACTCTGGAGACAGCAGTTTGGGTGGAGTGATAAAACTGAAGCCAGACCATGAGGGCTGAAGAAAAGAAAGGGAGGAGCCAGTCAGAGGCATTTTGGTAGGCGCTTTTTTCTAAGAGTTTAGCCACAAAGGGCAGACAGAGACAGGACAATAGCGGGTATGAAAAGATCCGAGAGGGGGAGAGAGAGGGAGCCAGGGGAGGTTAGGGAGGTCTGAGCAACCTTGCTGGTGTGGGGTGGTGAGCTGACTAGAGAGGGGTAAAAGGCATGCCTGGAGCAGGGAGGGCCCACATGAAGTGAGCAGAGATTTGTAGCGCAGAGCAGCTGCATGAGTCTCCACAGTCATTCTGCAGCAGAATAGGAGGAGAAGAGGTGACGGACACGGGGAGTGAGACTAAGGCTTGGCTGGGCAGTCAGGGAGATGGCGACGGAGCGAGGGATTCAAAAGAACAGTGTAGAGATGGGCTGGGGTCACCAAGGGGTCACGCTGAGCAGAAGACAGAGGGGCGAGGGCAGGGGAGATGGCCTGAGAACGGAGGGCCAACGTTCTGGGGGTCACAGGGGGAGACAGACGGAAGCCAGCCAGCAGATTATGGTCTGACGGGGGAGGCGGCACGTTTGTGGGTGAGCTAAGCTCCCAGGTTTAGGGAGGCTGGGTGGAGGCTTCTGGGAGCTTCCATGTGAGGAAGTGACTATAAGCACCATCTTCACTGCAACCCTGATGTGGCCCAGGAGCACACAGACGACCTCCTCTCCTCCTCCCCCCTTTCAGTTTACATTCATGTGCCGTCTTCCCCGTTAGAATGGAAGCCCCTTGAAGGCAGGGGCTGTCTTGACTTGTATTTGTACTCCCAGAGCTTGGCACAGGGCATACGTGCTCAAGCAATGCTCTGTGTATTCAGAGGTCTCCTGGGCTAGGTGCAGTTAGAATGCCCATCCTTACGCTGTGGAAACTGCCGTTAGCAGAGTTGATGTAACTTTTGCAGGGGCTGAGGCAGGTTCTGGACTCAGCATTCTGTCACTCACAATCCAACACGTTCCAAGCTGCCACCTCGCTGCGGCTAAGGTTATTCTTAACGCAGATGACCTGAGACGTGGGCGCACAAGTTGCCCTGCCCCTTCCCCAGTCTCTCCTCCGTCCAGAGCACCCACCCTTCTGCTCCCTGCCCAGGACACTCGGCGTAAAGCACCCTCCCACACGTGGCCCTGTGCCAGGCTTGTGCCCAGGGTTGCTGTAAGGCTCAAATGAGAGGAGAGCACTTTGCCAGCTGTCACCGTCATCGCAGTGACCACCAGCAGCAGCAGCCGCAGCCGCTGGAAAAGGGCAGAGCCAGACCACGAGAATTCCCTGAAGCTCCATGACTCCTGGCAGGGAGAGGCCCCCGAGGCCTGTCTCCTCCCCTCATCTCCCCACACCTGTACTGGCACCAGCAGACAGAGGGACCGACACATGGAAGCCCACTGGCCTCACCCAGGCTAAACAGCGACAGCATCTCCTTCCTAGAAATTTTACAAAAGTAAATTTATTGCATTTTCCATTGAAAAACTGTATGTGGATAAAAATTTGAACCACGCACGGCAGATCCCTGCCTGCCAGCCCATGACGAGCGCGGCTCAAAACTTTGCTGCAGTTTCCAAAGCCACCCCGTGACAGGCACGGAGCTCTGACCTTCCCTTTCTGCCTCTGGTCTAAGGCCGCTGGGCAAAAGTTGGCCCAGGCTGCCAGGCTCAGGTCCGGGCAGCCCGCATCTTCCGGCGGAAGTAGTCAGGGGCCGTGTCATAGAGCCAGTCTGCATCTACCACGCAGAGGTCCCTCATGTAGCACTTGTTGGTGGACAGCAGCTCGTTGTAGGTGACACAGGCCGGTTTGCAATGGAACAGGACAGAGGACGGGTGGATGGACACTGGCTGGCGGGTGTCCACGGTGAGGTAGGTCCCATCAGGCTGAAGCTCCGCCGTGTTCATGAAAAGGCCGTGTGCCAGGCATCGGCGAATGTTCTCCGTGTCTGCCCGTGAAGACTCGATTGGCATCGACATCTGTCCAGAAAGACGAGGAGAAAGAGGACTCTTGATCCTGCAGTTCTCCCCAACAGACTGAGGTTCTGGCCAGAAGCCTGAGCCCCAGCTGGCCGGTGCAGAGAGGGGAAGCACCTCTCATCCAAATGATTTGTTAAAGGGCAGGGCGCTATCCCAGGGAGTGAGCGGCTCTGGGGAGCAGGAGAGAAGAGCACCCCACTGTGCTGCTAACAGGAGACACGCCCCACCAGGAGGCTGACTTTTCAGAGGAAGCATCAGCAAGTTCAGCTGAGACACAGACACCCTGATAATTTTAGCCAAGAACAGTCTAAACTGCCCTAGAGAAAGTCAGTCTGGGAAACTCACAAGATTGAAATTCTAAAGATGCAAAAAGAAAGAATCCTGGGGAGGAGGAAAAGTGGTCTAAAGGGCTCGCTGAAGCTACACACATGGACAGAAGGGGAAGGCAAGGAGGGAGAACAAGTCCTCTTGGCTGCGGAAGCCTGCCTGGGGTCTGCAAGCACTGGAATGCCACAGCTTGACCAGGAGCCTGGCCTGGGGAGGGGAGAGAAGGTGAACAAAAACAAGTCTTCTTTCAACTCCACTGAAGGACAAGGTGGACAGAAAGGACCACTGGTTGGCAGGAGTGGGAGGAGAAAGACTGATGGTCCTGAGAAGTCAGGTCTGGTCAACTGTTATTCTTGCCCCCACCTCCCCAGCAGGGAGAGTGGCCTTCACCCCTGAAGGGTCTGAGGGAGGGGATACACGTGGCTAGGAAGGAGATACCCTGGCAGCTCTTCACAAATTCTAATCATCCTCAGGCTGCTAACATGAGGGCGACCTCCAAAAGATGATGCAGAATGGCATCAGGAAGCCAGGCAGAGCTGGATGGGTGTGGCAACCTCAGGCCTCTCCCTTTCCTAACCTTGGCCGACGCCGTACTGAAATCTGCCTGACCTGCTTCACTCTGTAGAGTCACAATCTAACGCTACGTGTGAGGGATGAGGAAGGCCTGTTCGGGCGGTGTGACTCATTTACTTTTTTTTTTTTTAAAAAAGGCAATTGGAGTCAAGGAGGGACTTCCCCAGGGTCACTCAGCTAGTAAGTGTCCAGTGTTTGGTCTGAGGCTGGATTTGAACTCAGGTCCTCCTGACTTCAGGGCCGGTGCTCTATCCACTGTGCCACCTAGCTGCCCCTATTCGTTTACTTCTGAGGAAAAGGAATCCATTGCTATGCACCCACTTTGCTAATCTTCCTGAGTTGGTTTTCTCCCATCCCACAGGACTTCTCAAGGTGCTTCCTGAGGAGAAATGGAAACCTCTGTCTCACCTGGCCATGAATAACATTTGCTCCCGGGGCATGAGCGGGCTCCGACGTTCCGAAGGCCTCGCTCACCTTCCCAGTGTCCAGGCGTAAGTGCTCCGCGTCTGCATCAAGCTCCCTCCCTTGCCCACGGGGACGGAGGCACACTGGCGTGCCCGGGGCCTCTCTGGGATCTGTTACCTGGCCCAGTGGCTGCTGCTGGTGACCAACTGGGAACGATCTACCCATTCAACAGAGAGTGTCTGGCCTCGTGTGTCAAGACTGTGATTACTAGGCCATCCTGTTCACTGACATCTCCACCAGAAACTAAGCTAGTATGAGGCGGGAATAGCACAGGGCACAGAGTCTCCCCAAATCCAAACAAACAGTAGGCCAAGTCTCACACTACTTTTAGGGAAACCAGAGAAAGACACAGGCTAAAAGTTATTAAAGTTATCGAAGGCCTGGCAATTAGTGTGACGGACAGAGCCCAAAAGAGTGGTCCTTAGCGGTTCCAGAAGAGTCCCTCAGGGATCTGGGGGGGCCCCTTGTTCAATTTCCGAGTCCGCCAAGTCTGGGAGGGAGAGCCACAGAAGATGGCCGCCTCTCCGGACAAGACTCAGGGCTTCGCAGACAAGAGAGGCACGGGGACTAGGAAGGTGACACTGCCTCCCTGGGCAGGCCCACAGGTTAGGAAGGGGGAAGGTCAGTGGGAACTTGGCCAGAGGAGGCAGCTGGGATTGGGGGAAGGGCCAGGAGGTCTGGCCCAATGAAGCAGGACGTGGGGACTGCCACAGCCTCAGGAGAAGCACCACAGCTGTCCCCAAACAGGGACGGCCTGGCAAGGTGGCGCCCAAGGAGTCGCCAACTCATGGCTTACCCTGATTTCCTCAAGACCATGACGGTCAAACTACACAAAGTCCCTCTGGCCCTTGGAGCAAACAGGCAGAGAAGGAACACGGGACCGACCTCGGAGGAAGGTTCTAGTCAACAGGTACAAAACGAACCAGACAGACAACCACTCTGCTGCGTGGCTCGGGAAGGACTCGGAGCCCATGCGCAGGAGGGTGACTGGCACAGGGGGAAGGGCCGCTGCACTTACCCACCTGCCAGAGGGCGGGGCCACCTGTGCGCACGGGAGCTGCAGCCTCACTTTACCTTGATACAGATGTCCCGGAGCTGGGCTCGGACTTCCGCCACCAGCATCATGTTCCTGCTGTTGACAAAATTCTCTCTGCACCATTCCTAGGGAGGAGAGAAAGAGGCGCACATCCCTTAGTGTCCTGGAAGCGGGCTCCACTCTGCACGGGGCCCGACGGTGGCCTGCCCAGGCCACCAGACAGAGCTCCGGCTCTCTGGATGCTGTGAGGCGGTCCTCTCTCAGAACCCTTCCCCTGGCAAGGGCAGTAAGAACGCAGTGTCATGTCCCTACACAGGCCAGAGGTGGCCAGGACCGATGCCAGGGCTCCAATTCTGCAAACAACGTGAGCTAATGTCCCGTCACAGTGACCAGCCTTAACACAGAGGCTGGCACCCAGGGAGCACCTGATAAATGTGTGCTGATGTCTGCCTGGCTCGCCTGGGAGAGAGAGAGAGAGAGGGAGAGGGGGAGGGAGAGAGAGAGAGAGAGAGGAGAGAGACAGAGAGAGAGAGAGAGAGTGCGCACGCACATGCGTGTGCATGTGTGTGGGGACTTAAGCTGTGACCAATGTAAAAAGGGAATGAAACACAACCCTCCCCCTCCTTCACGGCAGCGTTGTATACACTGCCACGGCACAGCGGCTGGTTTGTTTTCAGTCACAAAGTTGTGTCCAGGGAGTCGGGCTGAAAAAGGACAAAGGGGGAAGGATGGGACCTGGGCTGCATGGTGTGGGGCACTGCGTGGTCAGGGTCTGGCCCAGGCCTCCCTGACACAGGCATCAGTGTTTCTGGAGGCCACGCCGAGGAAGCCAGAGCCGAGGGCGCCGGGGTCTCCGCCTACCTTGTTCCCGCCAACGTTTCTGAAGGCTCGGTACACGTTGAGCAGGGTCAGGTGGTCCCCCTCGCTGGAGACAAACTTCTTTCTGACGCACTGCACCTCATCCCGCCGGGAGGGAGGGTTGTACAGGACACTGTCCACAGACAGCAGGGAAACAATGGTCAGTATCTCTTCTGTGCAGTGGAATTTGGGGGAGAGAAGAATGGTCTGCAAAGGACAAATGGGGAGCTGCTGAGACCCTGGTTGCGGGCCTCCACAGGGCCAGGGGCTTGGAAAGGAAAGGTGATGGCGACAGCATGGATTTACTTTGGCAAACTTGGGCTCCAAGGGGAAGGCCGCCATCTTCCTTCCAGTCGGGGTCAGCACCAATGGCTCGTCCTTCTTCCGCTGGAGGGCCCCCAGCAACTCCAGCTGCTCCAGGGCTGCCTGGAGATGATCTGTATGGGACAGAGCACAGAGAGGAGCCTGAGGCCTCCCCAGAATGACCTCTCCCTGGCCCACGGCCCTCCCACAAAGGTCCCCCACTCACCTGGGGATGGTTTAGACATGAAGTCAAAAGTGAGGACATTTGGCACACGCAAGGCCAAGAGTTGCAGGATGACACTGGCCAGGTTACACCTAGGAAGAGCCCAGGCCAGGCAAAGGGTCCGTCAGCGACCCCTTTCTGACTCAATCAATGCACGGGAAAGGGGCACCAGGAACAGGAGGTCGGAAATCCCAACCCAAGCCAAGAAAAAGGCCCATGGAAGAAGTGGGGTACCCTTCACACCTCTGGATCTCTGGGATTGTCATCTTATCGAATTTCTCAAACTCGTCCTCCGTGTAGAGGCGGTAACAAGCCCCACTATCCTCACGGCCAGCCCGCCCTGTCCGTTGCCACGCCTGGGTCTTTGACACCCGCTGGACAGCCAACACCTCCAGGCCACTCTCTGGGAAGAATGAAACCAGTGTGGTCAAAATCCGCAGAGTCTGACTCTGTTCGGCCCTGGTGGGCCTCGAGCCCCAGATGGGAGCCAGGGAGGAGCCAGCCCCACCACACTCTGTTCTCTGACCACACCATGGCGAGGAAGGACACTGGGAAGCGGGGGAACAGCTGGAGAGGGACCGTGAGGCTGAGGAAGGGACCTGAACCCATGTCTGAAGGAGCTAGCCCGGAGAAGACTGGGGGAGAGAGGGTGTGTGCGAGCATATGTGTGTGCATGCTGGGGAAAGAGAGAGGCGACCTTAAGGTTCTGAGGGGCTAGCCCCCAGAGAAATTAGGACTTCCCTTGCCCTGCTTGGCCCAAGAGGGTGAGGAGCAGTGATGGGGGAAAGCGCGAAAGAGGGGGCCTTGGGGCAAACGTCCAGAGAGTGTCCCAAAGTCCAGGGGGCTGCCTCAGGAGAGGCCCCTTCCAGCCTCCCAAGTCTGGGATTCTGGGAGCCAGAGGGCCTGAGCACAGGCCAAGTTTGGGGACCAGAGTGGAATGGGTAGGGAGAAGCCCTGAGCTGCTGACCCCCCAGGGGAGCTGCAGGGGTCCAGGCCATGGAGCCGAAGGCACAGGCAGGGGAAGAAGCCTGGCAAACGCTTCTCTCAGTTCGCTGCACAAATGGTCTCCAGGAACCCACATGGTCTGGGCAACCGCGACGACACCCCAAGCTTTACCTGGGGAGCTCCCGTGTCTTCCCCATGCCCTATGTCTCTTCTTGGTGGGTGTCTCTCTCCCGTGTGTGTGCATGTCTGTGTGTGTGTGTGTCTGTCTGTCTGTGTCTCCTGTCCTCCATCTTTCCCTTCTTAGGAAAAGTGACATCTGGGGGTACCCTGCACCTCCCCACCCCGACCTTGCCAGACACTCACCGGGATTATACCTCTTGGCCTTGACCATGCCTGTGTCAATCACATGCTTTATGCCCGTGATGGTAATGGAGGTTTCTGCAATGTTGGTTGAAATGATCACTTTGCGAGAGCCCTGGAGGGTAAAGAAGAGTCCCAAAGCCCCGTGAGCGATGGCCAGAACACAGGTGAACATTCGTGTGCGTTGGCCTGGTCTCTCCCTGGACAGATCTAAGGCAGGTGGGTGGCGAGCTTATTGGGGGTGGGGGGCTCTTCAGGTGCCTTCTCAGAGTTACAGCCGCCATTCTGGGCCAGGACTGCTCAGTGACACAGCCGTCTCTGACCCCAGCTGTAGAAAGTCAAGGGGGAAGAGAGAAGCAGCTGAGCTGCCGGGCCTCATGACCCCTCTGATGACTCCCCTGATTCTGGGGTCCCTGGACAAGACAAACCAAGCCAAGCCTCCAGCCTCCCCTAGGCGCCTTTCAGCAGAAGCAGTAAGGAGACACTTCAGGATCCGGGTTCCGGTCACCGACCCAACCAACCATGTGAATTAACACTGAGGCACACACGGCGCTTGGTGGGGAGGCAGCGCAGATGCTTTCTGCTGGACTGACCTTGGGGGCCCCTTGGAAGACCCTGAGCTGTTGGGAGCTGGGGAGGGAGGCGTACAGCGGCAGCACCAGCAGTGGTGGGCAGCCCTCGGGCAGGTGCCGGGCGATGTCTCGGCAGGCCTTGCAAAGGGCCTCGATCTCCTCCTGACCCGTGAGGAACACCAGGATGTCCTGAGAAGAAGGCGCTTCCTGCATGGGGGCAGAGCCTCTGATTAGGCACTGGAGCACAGCCCTGCCCTCAAGAAGCTTCCAGTCTACATTTTGGAGAGCAATTTGGAACTGTGCCCAAAGGGCTATAAAAATGTGCATACCCTTTGACCCAGCAATAGCACTTCTAGGGCTATATCCCAAAGATATCATACAAATGGGAAAAGGACCTACATGTACAAGAATATTCATAGCAGCTCTTTTTGTGGTGGCAAAGAATTGGAAATTGAGAGGATGTCCATCATTTGGGGAATGGCTGAGCAAGTTGTGGTATATGAATGTGATGGAATACTATTGTGCTATAAGAAATGATGAACAGGCTGACTTTAGAAAAACCCGGAAAGACTTGTATGGTCTGATGCTGAGTGAAGTGAGCAGAACCAAGAGAACGTTGTACACAATAACAGCCACGTTGTGTGATGACTAATATTGATAAACTTAACCTTTCCTGGCAATACAAGGACCTAAGACATCTCCAGGGGCCTTGTGATGGAACATGCTATCTACACCCAAAGAACTATGGAAGTTGAATTACTATTTTTTTCTCTTCTGTTGAGTTTTGTTTCCTCTTTCTGATGGTTCATCCTATTGATTTTAATTTCTACTTACAACGTCACTAATGTGGAAATATGTTTAATATGAATGTAAATGTATAGCCTATATCAGATTGTGTACCGTCTTGGAGAGGGTGGTGGGGAGGAAGGGGGAGAAAAATTTTAAACTCAAAAGCATATGGAAGTGATTATTGATAAATCAAAAAAAAAAAAAAAAAAAAAAGTAAACACCCCAGTAGAGGAGAATCACCTGACAGTCTGATAACCACAGGCTCAGGGGTGCTGGGGAAGGTTCCTAGGACAGCCCCAGGGCAGGGGGGTGGGGGAGGGAGCACGGAGTTCCTGGACCCCACTGGATCATCAGCAGGATGAGAGCTGGGCCCATGCCCATGGCCCCCTGCCACTGTTGTGAATCTCCTAGAGAAATTCGGGCATTTAGGGTTAAGGCATGAGGACAGAGCACAGCGGTGTGCGAGGTTTTCATAAGCACTCCATCCCCCTGGAGGGCCAGTCAGAGGTGTCTTTCTCTGCCTGGTCAGCCCGAAGGTTGTGCATCCTGAACTCACATTTGCTCTCCTCGCCCATCCCCTCAGGGTCCCACAGCCCACATCCAGCCCTGCTGGGCTTCCAGCGGCCTCCTCTGCTCCCCAGTGAAGCACACCTGGTGAATCTGGAAGATGGACACCAGCGCAGCGTGGAGGTAATCGCTCTGGGGCTGTTTGGTGTAGTAAACTTGGATGGGGTGCTGCCGACCCTCCACATAGAGGACAGGGGCGCCGTCGAAGTACCGGGAAAAGAGGTCCACGTCCATGGTGGCCGACATGACGAGGACCTACAGAGACAACCCAGCTCAGGGCAGGGAGGGAAGGAGCATGGGTTGGGGAGGGGGGTGAGGAGAGGGGTGGGGGGGTGGGGCAGGGTCCCACCCAGCCACCACCAGACTCACTCTGAGCAGAGGCTTCCTCAGCTCCTTTCGCCGGCGCTGGGCAGCTTTCACCACACCCAAGAGCACATCCGTGTGGATGGTTCGCTCGTGAGCCTCGTCCAAAATGACAAAGCTATACTTCCGCAGCAGAGCATCGGACATGGCTTCCCGGAGCAGCATCCCATCCGTGAGAAACAGGATTCTGGTGTCTTCAGAAGTGACGTCATCAAAGCGGACAGTGTAGCCCACCTGCAAGACGGAGGGAAGCTGAGCCAGGAACAGGCTGGACTGGCCCTGGGGAAGCCATGGATTTTGACTTCCAGCTCTGCTGTGCTGATTTGGGGGGGCAGACGAGGGTTTAGTGCAGGCCTCAGTTTCCTCATCTGTAACGGGAAGGGCTGGTCCAGTTCATCTCTAACTTCAAAGCTTCCAGCCCTGAAAATGTACTTCCTCAGTCATTTAGCCAGAAAGGTGGTCACAGCATCATGACCTAGCTAGAGTCCAGAACCATCTGGAGAAGAGAAACCCATTTCAGGATGCTGTTCCAGCCTAACTACCCACCAGCTTGCCCAGTTCCGTCCTCTTTTCATCCGAGACTCTGGCAGCCAGGGAGATGGCAGCAACTCGGCGAGGCTGCGTCACGGCGATGACGCCTTGACGGCCCAGGCCTGCCTCGTAAAGGTATTGCGGAATCTGTGTTGTCTTCCCTGAGCCGGTCTCCCCTGGGTAATAAGAACAGGAGAGAGAACGCCTTTTGTGAAGAGTTTCACCGACCCCTGCCCATTCCCAGAATCTGGGAACACCAGAGTTAGGGCGAAGCACCCAACAGAAAGCCAAGACCAGGCTGGATTTGGCCAAGCGCTGGCCAGGGCATTGGTCCTCCAGCTCAGGGGCTGCAGTGGTACTCATCCAAGGATCTCTGAAACCACAAAGAAGCACACTGACCTTCGGAGGAAACACTGAAACCCAAGGGTCTTCTGGACACTGAATACACATCTTACACACGGAGATGACTGAGTTTTGAAAGTGTGCACTCGTATCTCAAATGTACCAGGGAAGAAATGAGATTTCCTAAGCACTTTGGCTGAAGCCTGTGGGCAAACTCCAGTGGTCCCCTAAGACCTCCAGGATCAAACACAAACTCCTCTGTTGGCTTTTAAATCCCTCCATGGCCTGCTCTCTTTCCATCTTTCCAGACATCTTATACTTTACTTGCTTCTACTCATGCTGGGCAGCTAGGTGGTACAGTGGATAGAGCTCCGGGCCTGGAGTGAGGAAGACTCATCTTCCTGAGTTCAAGTCCAGCCTCAGACACTTATTAGCTGTGTGACCCTGGGCCAGTCACTTAACCCTGTTTGCCTCAGTAGCCTCATCTGTAAAATGAGCTAGAGAAGGAGATGGCAAACCACTCCAGTACCTTTCCCAAGAAAGCCCCAAATGAGGTCTCGAGAAGTCGGACATGACGGAACAAAAGCTCAGACTGCAGTCAGCCACGCTGGCCAACTCGTTGTTCCATCTCCTTCCTGCAGCCTCTCAGCATCCCTGGTTTCCTTCAAAACAAGAGAACCTCAACCCCTGCAGGACAGGGGGAAAAGGGGGGAATGCCCAAGGTGGAGCCTCTGAAGATCCTCCCAGGCCCGTCTTTCCATCACACCAGAATGACTCACTTGCCCATCCCATCACTCTCCTCACACTGGTCTGAGCCTCCCCGACCACACAGCCAACATTTCTGCCCACTTTGTTCTGTTCCCTAATGAAGGTCCTCACACCCTGGCCTGCAGCCCCTGAAACCATACATGCCATCCCCTTAGTTTTCAATCTATTCTTGGCAATGGGCTCCTTCTCTGCTGATTGCAAATGAGCCCAAGTGTCTCCCAGTCATAAAAAAACCTCACTACACCTGGCAATCAACCCCTGCTCTATCCCCTTCTTCCTTCCCTTTCCCAGCCAAACCCCTGGAAAAAGCAGTCTAAGCTTGTCTCCCCTTCCCCTTCTCTCACTGGTGAGCCCTCTGCAATCTGGCTGCCACTCAGAGTCAGTAAGAGCCTCTTCACTGGCTTTTCCTCTGCCTTCATCTTTCTCGTCCTATCTGCTGCCTCAGCCACAGCAGACCACCACAGCTGGATGCTCTCCTCTCTCTGGGGTTTTGTGGACGGAATCTCTTTTGCTGGCTCATCCTCCCTAGCACATGCTCTAACAGTGAGTATTCCCCAGGGTTCTCAGCTGGGCCCTCTTTTCTCTATACTCTGAGGCAGCTGGGAGGCCCAGTAGATGGAATTCTGGGCCTGAAGTCAGGATCCCGGTCCTGGTAACCTTGGTCACACAACCTTGTGTGGTCTCAGTTTCCTCATCTGTAAAAAGGGAGTAGTCACAATCCCTACTTCCCAGGGTTTTAGTGAAGATTAAATAAGAAAACTCACGTAAACTGCTTTGCAAACCATACAAATGCTATTAATTGTACAGACTCACTCATCAGCTCCCACAGGTTCAACTACCACCTCTATGCTGATGACTCCTAAGCCTCTATATCCAACCCAGATTTCTCTCCTCTACACTGCCAGCCCCACATCTCCAGCTGCCCCTGGACATGTCCAGCTGGATGTCCCAAGCAGAACTCATTGTCTTTCCTCCCAGGCCCCGAAGCTCACAACCCGGCAATCATCCTGGACTCCTCACTCTCAACCCCCAGATCCAATATGGTGCCAAGGCTGCTGCATCTCTTGTCTATTTCACCTTGGCAACATTTCTTGTGATGTCACAAGAACATCTCTGGTCAGTTTCACCTCTGTACCATCGGCCTCCTTCTCTCCCTGGTCCCTGCCCCCGCTCTGGTGCAGACCCTGCTCTCCTCTAAGGCAGGGAGCTGCTGCGGGGAGGGGGAGTCCTCCTGCCTCAGATTTCTCTCCCCTCCAGTACATCCTCTATTTAACCACCAAAGGTATTCCCCCCCGCCCCGCTCCACACGCACAGACTCAATAAACTCCATTGGCTCCCTACGGCCTCCAAGAAATAATACAAAATACTCAGATTGGCATTCGAAGACCGACATTACGTGGCCCCTTGCGCCTTCCAGACGGCCCAGTCAGGCTTCAGGAATCTCAGTGAGCATGCGCACCGGGAATTCCCTTCCTCAAGTGACAGTGCCCAGACTCTACACTGCGCACGCGCACCTCCCTTTCCTTCCACCCGCATGCCTCCCTGGCCCCAGGAGATCCCGCTCTTCGCCCTCCCGCCAGCAGGGGGCGGCCCACTCGCCCCGCGGCCTCACCAATCAGCACGGCGCATTCGATGCTCCGCAGGCGGGCCAGCAGCGGCCCGCGCGCCGTGAAGATGGGCAGACTTCGGCGCTGATGCTCCAAGGCCTCGGCTCCCAGTGGCGGCCGGCGGCCCCCGGGCAGCATAGCGCCGCGGCTCCCGGGGACCCCGGGCCCGGCCCGGAAGCGCTTGGCCGGAGGAGGGCCGCGCTCCTCTGGCATCGCGGTGCACCAGCGCGCGGGGACCTAGCGCGCCTGCGCACGGGAGCCGGGCCCCTTCCGAAATGGTCCTGCGCACGAGAGCCCGGGGAGGCAGGGGCGCCCAGCTGGCCAGTGAACTCGAGGGGCGCCAGCGGCGCGCGGAAGGAGGGGCGCGAGGGTTGCTGGGATTTGTAGTTCGGGCAGCCACAGCGGCCGGCCCCGCCCCTCAATCCGGCTATAGCCAAAGAGACCACAGCGTCACGGTAGGGCACGCGCGGGCAGGGCGCGAAGGGCCGACGGCGGAGCCGTTGGGGGGACGGACGCCGAAGGTGCCACGGCGTGGGACCATTCCGGAGCGGGTCGCCCCGCCCCACCCCCAGGACCACGTGCATCTCCTCCGGGACTCAAGTGGGCCCCGAGAAGGCTCTGCCCAAGGGGTTTGGGTTCTCCAGCCTGCCAGACCCTGGTCTTCTTTATTTTCTGTGACAGAGAGAGAAAACTTCCACAAACATTAAGCACCTATTGTGTGCCAGGCACTTTACAGCCCAGGGAGGTAGTGCTGTTATGCTCCAAATTTACAGATGAGGAAACCGAGGCAAACAGGTGAAGTGACTTGCCTAGGGTCACCTAGCTATAAGTGCCTGAGGTTAGATTTGAACTCGGGTCCTCCTGACTCCAGTCCCGGTCCCCCATCCATTGCACCACCTAGCTGCGGCTCCCTCTCACCGCCCCCCCCCCCCCCCAAAAACCCTCTGCTGTCAAGGAGGGCTCGGCCCAATGGGCCGAGAAGGTCTGGGGAAGGGAAGCATGGAGGGATTGCAGGGCACATGTGGGGAGTGGGCCAGGAGGAGGGGTTAGGGTAGGAAAGGCTTTGAATGCCGAGCAGAGGGCTCTAGATTTGATCCTGGACGTGATAGGGAGCCGGCGGGGAGGTAACTTGGTTGGACAGACCTTCAGGACGGTCACTTTTGTGGCTGAATGGAGGATGGATTGGGGGGGCTGACCTGAGGCAGGTAGACTGCCCCCCTTTTCCAGCAGCTATCAAAGTAGTCCAGGCGCCAGGTGATGAGGGTCTGAACCAAGGTCTCAGCTATGTAAGTGGAGAGGAATGTGGGGGAGGGGCGAGAGTGAAGACTCCAAAATGAGACCTTGGTGATATGGAAGTTGGAAGTCTTTGGGTTTGGGCACACTAGTTTTCAGGTAGACAATCAACAGGCAGCTGGAGGTCACGGCAGAGGTCAGGGCTGGATAAACAGAGCTAAGAACCCCCTTCCTAGAGATGATCATTGAAACCATGGAACAGCCAGCTTCCTGAAAAAGGGGAGATTTCAGCTGGGACTTGAGAGAGGGAGACACTCCAGGCAGAGAAGCTGGTGGTGTCGCTGATGGGGGTGGGGGCGGGGGTGGGGGGCGTGAGGGGCATAACAAGCTGGGAAAGCTGGGAAGGAGCTGAGGTTATGACAGGATGTTTTATTTTCAGGTCTGATTTTTCTCTTCCCTCCCTCCCTCCCCACCACCTGAGGGAACAAGAAAACCAAAAACCATTAGAGACAAGTAGAGTCAAGCACATCAACCACGTCCACAAAAGAGAAAATGTCTCAGTCCACACTGACATGTTTTGTCATGAATCCCCCAGAATTGTGTCGACCCAACAGCAGGTGCTATATAAATGCTATTGAGGGATTGCTGGTCACAGTGAGGACAAAGGATAGGGTTTGGGGTTGTAAGGCAGAGGGAGAAGTGAAAGATTGTGATCAGATAAAGGAATCTTCTGATGCAGCTGTGGATGAAGGCAAGATGGAGGGGATGACTGTCTGGGGGTGGCTGAGTGGGCCGGAGCGGGAGCTCACGGCATGTGCATTGGGGAGGGCCCCCCAGCTGGAGAGAGAGACTGTGAGCCCAGCATGGAACTCGAGGAGGGAAGGAGGGCATTCGGAGGGCAGTAACCAAGAGCCATCAGGATGGGCTCCATGAACCTCCAAGGAGGAGGGGTCACTGAGGGAGGGAGGAGGGGGGATGGCGATGAGGGCATTCCCACCCTGCCCTCCCCTCCCCCTTCTGTTGGACCAGGGAGACAGGGTTGGGTGAGATGTGGACAAAGAAGTGAGTTTGGGCCGTGATGGCCTGGTGTTCATCCAGCAAGCTTGTAATTGTCCTTGGGTGGAGATGTACCAGGGAGGCAGGCAGCCCTGCGTGCCTGGGGAGATGGGACAGAGCCCAGCTGTCAGGAGCTGGGAGAGACTGTCAGCTGTTTGTGTTCTTCCCCAGCACCCACAGGGAGCCCTTAGATGGGGAGGATGGGGGAGGTGAAGAAAGACTTCCAGAGCTGTGGCCGCATGGACCTCGAGACGGTGAGCCTCCGTTTCCCCAGCTCCCCGTCTCGCAGGGTGTGTCCCCACAGCGGCGGGCACAGGGAGCGTCCAGGTGGACATCAGCCCGCGCACCTGTGCACAGGTGCATAGTTACCCAGGTACAGCTCAGGGACTGCTGCCCTCGAGTGACCCTCGTCAAGGCCTCACAGGCCAACCCAGGACCAGAACCCAGCCCCTTAATCCACAAGCCCTTATTCATTGCTGGGGTGGTGCTAGGTACCAGGCCAAGTGCGGGGAACACAAGCCACCCTCCCTCAAGGAGCTTCTGGTCTAATGAGGGCTGCAGTATGGAAGCATAGGGTTGAGAAAGTCAGACCCACTGAGTCATGAAATGCTGATACCTTAAGGAGGAGAAAACAAGTGTCAATCAATCTGATTCAGACAAAGTGTGAAGGGTCCTTTGCGTGGCCGAGGTTGGAGGAAGGTGGGTTAAGTGACTTGCCCAGGGTCACACAGCTAGGAAGTGTCTGAGGCCAGATTGGAACTTGGGAAGATGAGTCTTCTTGACTCCAGGTCCAGCACTCCATCCAGTGAGCCACCTAGGGCCCACAGACAGGGCCAGGCTTGTCCAGGGTCACAACCAGTTAAGCGTCTGATGACAGATTTGAACTCAGGTCTTCCTGACTCCAGGCCTAGCACTCTATTGTCCAGTGAGCCACCTAGCTCCAACCCTTGCCAAGTGACTTGCCCAGGGTCACACAGCTAGTGAATGAGTGAGGCCAGATTAGAACTCGTGTCTTTCCGACTCTCAGCCTGGGGTTCTAGCTACTGCACCACCCAGCTCCCACAAGTCACAGAGAGTCACTAGAGCTTTGGGGCTTTTTTCTTTTTCTTTCTTTTTTTTTTTCTAAGAAAGGGAATGAGTAACAGCATCAGATCTTCACCTTGGGAAAGTCACTTTGGCCACTGTCCAGGACCTTGCCTAGGACCAAGTCAGTCAACCAATCAATCAACAAACAGGAGGAATCATGGTAGATAGAGTGCTGGACTGGAAGACCCGAGTTCAAATCGTGCCTCAGATATTCAGTGGTTGCGTGACCTTTGGCGAGAAACTTAGCCTTTATTTGCCTCAGTCTTCTCACCTGTATTTTTTTGGGGGGGGGGTTAGGCAATAGGGTTAAGTGACTTGCCCAGGGTCATACAGCTAGTAAGTGTCAAGTGTCTGAGGCCGGTTTTGAACTCAGGCCCTCCTGGTTCCAGGGCCGGGGCTCTATCCACTGCACCACCTAGCTGCCCCTAGGTCTTCTCACCTGTAAAAGGGGATCATTGCATCTCCTACCTCCCAGGGTTTTCCTGAGGATCCGCTGAGAGGCTCTCTGGAAGGCCCCCATGGTGGATGTGACGTACAAGCTAGTCACCTCCATCATACAAAGAGGAAGGCAGACCTGTCCCCGAAGAGCTCCCATCCAGACCGGCAGTGGGGGGGCATTCTCCACTCTGGCCTCCAGCTGAGTCTCAGGGGGCTCCTCGTGCCAGGCTCAGCATCCCCCGCCCCCAGGAGCCTGCTGGGTCACGGTCCTTGACCACTTCCTGCCTTGGCTTCCTCCCCAGCTCCCTCTCCACCTTGGATCTGGCCTCTGTTCTTGACCCTCTGTGCCTCTGGGCATGGCTGACGCCCCCACTTCTCCCCAAAGTCTTCTCTGAAGCCCGTCTCGCCCGGTGACCTGTCAGGTTCATCTCTAGTCCTTCACCTCATACATCACTCCCACCTGCCTGGAGCTCCCAAACCTCCCACGCTGGGACACCTCTGACTGGCAACTCCCTGAGGGCAGGAGTCATCTTCCTTTTGTGTATTATGTCTCTAACTTAGCACAATGCATGGCACACAGTAAGTGCTTAATACATGCTTGTTGATTGGTTAATTGACAGTTACTGTAAAACTCATAAAGGTCCAGATCAAAAAATAAAACTCCTTTCTTTTGTATGGTTAAGGAATAAACTTCCAAGCAGAAGAAACATGATGACAGGCCACCACCTGGGAGCCATTTCCTAAAGCCCACAATTTCTGCCAGTTTGACTGGATCTGCTGCTGAAACCACGGCCATGCCAGCTGCAGCTCTGGGTAAACCTGCCTGCGCTTTGACCTGCTTTCTACCTTTTCCTCGGCTTCCTCTTTCTTAGAATGGGCAGATGGAGCTCAGTGGCCACCTGGAGGCTCATAGCAGCTCTGGCCAGGGCAGCCCTGGGGAGTGGACATTCTTCTAGCTTGACAGCCTCCTCCCTGCAATGTGTTTGGTTGGGCCTCGTTCTGTGGGTGCTTTGAGATCATGGGCCCTAAGGGGCTCTGATGATGAGTACAGAGTGCAGGGGAAGTGGTCTCCTGCCCCTCCCCCCATGCCTCTGTCTGACTCCTTCGGCCTCCCTTGTGGGAAGCATGAACTGTGCTGTGTTCCTGTCTGTTTGGCTAATTTTGGCAACTCTTCAGATGCATCCAAAGGGGATGCCATGGATAGCCGTGATGTCTGGTGAGCCAGAGCAGCCCTGACACTTTCAGGTGTTGAGATGGGCTTCTTTGGGGCCTTTACAGTGAACAGCACCTCTCTCAGAGGCAGCCTCCCCAGACTGGCCCTCACAGGGTTGCAGGTTGGAGAGTGGGGTGAGGACGGGGTGATTGTTCACAGATTCAAAGGCACACCAAGCATCCAGACT